GCATTATTTATCCATATAGAAATGTGCTAAATCAGGAAATAGAAGTCCCAAAGAAGTAAGTGAAACAGTCATACCACCAAACTCGAAAGGTTAGGACTTCAGTTACCAGTTGTTGCTTTCCCTTTTCTTGCTAAAGAAGCAGTCTTCTGTGCCCTAAAAATCCAACTGCCATTTCAAGCTACCTTTCCCTAAGCTATTTAATACTGGAAGGAATAAAATTATTGCTACCTTCACCTCTCTGAGCCTTCAGAAAAATTGCATGCATGACAGTTATGAACTGCACCAGCAGAGTTTTAAAAGACATATAAAAGGCATATTTCTCTCTCATTATTTTTTCAGTTAGCTTTATTTATTTTTTTCCCATTTCAGAGTTAATACAAAAATGTGTACGTATTTTTCTGGATGCCCGCCAATCCAAAATGAAATAAAGAAAGAAAACAGCACCAGACAAAATAAAAATCTTGAGGTTATGTGAAGTGGAATAAAGACAGCCATGTCACTTTTTAGAGGGAGAAAAGTACTTTCCTCATTCTGAAGAAGGAAAATCTTTTCTCCCAGGAGCCACAAAAAATGGTAAAGTACCTCTTCACAAAAAGAGACTTTGTAAAAACAGTGCAGATATTAAGTGTGCATGTTAATGTAGGATTTTTTTTCTGTCTAAACATGCACAGGATTGCAGCCCAAGTCAACTAAGCTCGATTAAATGCAGCCATCAGGTCAGCTCTTGGTCTTTCCCAGGAGGCCTTTGTGCTGATTGCCCGGCTACACTGAGGCCAAGGCCTGCTTCAACCCCAATTCTGCATCTGCCACCAACATGCAATTACTCTAACTCCTGAGTAAGAGGAGCATCCTAGAGTTGGAGGGTCATTTTCAGCCTGAGTGGTGCAAACTGCCCACTAACTGGCCACTCACAGTGCGATAACCCAGGTTGTTCTGCTCTTGGTCTAAGCATGGAACATATTTTTTACATTAGGAATGGAAATACAAAAGTATGAGGAGAGAAAACAGGCACCAGAAAAAGAAACAAAACAGCTTACTCTGAGAGCCAAAACAAATGGAGAGCCAGTGCAATGTAGCAGTTCAGAGAGTAGGACTTAGGGGATCTAGATTCTAGTCCCCACTTAGCCATGGAGCCAACTGGATGACTTGAGACCAGTCCCACTCTCAGCCCAACCCACCTCACAAGATGGTTGTTGTGGGGATAAGACTGCGAGCAGCAGGGGGAGAATGATTTAAGCTGCTCTGAGTTCTTTAAAAAAGAAAAAGGTGGAATACTATTCTAATAGATAAATAACTTACTTAAATCCATATATAGCAGTTATTTCTTTTTTCATTTTTTTCCAAAATAAGCATAAGGAGCCCAATCTGGTCAGGGTTCCTTGTGCTTGCTCTACAACAGTGCTTTTTTGGTTTAAAAAAAAAAAAAAAAAAGTGCCGGAACTCACATCTTGGGGTCACAATTTTACACAATGGTCGCCGCTGGCTGAGTCAGTGCATAACCACACAACCGATCCCAAGTCGAGCAGCGTCCCAAGCCGAGCAGCACCCTCACAATCAGTGCCAACAATCAGCGCTGACACATAAACAGCCCGCAGGCACTATGTTAATCAGTTCTGCCACCGATCTGCTACGCCCAACAGGGCGATTCACAATCACTTGGAAAAATCCGTCAAAAAAAGGTGCCGGAATGCTGTTCCGGTGCGTTCTATGACAAAAAAAGCCCTGCTCTACACTAAAAATGAAAATAAATACCTCTAGGTACTAGGAACAGATTTAAATAATGCCTGTTTTGGTCATAAGTAACATGCTACACAATCTTAAAACAGAATTTAAACTTTTGTGAGGAGACAGTATCACTCACAAGGTTCAGCACATAAGAAATTTTGTTAGGGAACAAACCTTTATTTCAAACCTGTGATAACAGTGTGGATGGATCCCCCATTCAAATGTGACCATCTGAGCAGAATATTGATATTCAGGATATTGCATGCTCAACATCTACACATCCAAACCACTTCAAGATTGGGGAAAGCAATAATGCTAGGGGAAGTCAAAGGCAGAAGAAGATAAGGGAGACCAAATACGAGAAGAATCAATTCCATAAAGAAAGCCACAGCCTTGAGCTTACAAAAGGTGAGCCAGGGCTGTCAAGGACAGGACATTTTGGAAAGCATTCATTCCCAGGTTCACCATAAGTCTGGGTGATGGCAAATTTGATGGCAAATAGGAATAACTCCCCAATTTCCTTCACCGTATCTAAAACGCTTTGAGCATTTTGATCCACAGTCACTTTGTCCTCAGTACTAAATTACTTTTCAGCCTGGTATTATCATCCACAGCAATTCAAAAAGGAGTAGGCTCCTCTTTAGTATTCTAGTTCTAGGGACACCTTATCTTTGACATACAGAGCTACTTAGCTACCAACAGACCCCTCCCTGTCATCTTCACAGAACTTCTATCTAGGGATAATTTTATCCCACTGAATCTCTCAATAGTAATGATGCAAAATTCCACCCAGAATACAACTTCCTTGTGTTCTTTGGACTTCGACCTTGGCCTAGGAAGCAAGCTGAGCCACAATCAAGTCTGTAAACTCTTAGGAATGCCAGTGGGTCCCTTCTTTGTGCCACATTATTCTCCTGCTACGCATGCCGAGCCTACATGTAAGGAAGCAGAATTCCTCTTGCACAGCAGATGTCCCTCCCTAGCACTACAGCGGGAGCTGCCTCTTCATGCAAGCTCGCAATGCAAGTCAATCTTAGGGCAGAGGAAGAACAGGCTAGAATCTGGGGAAGTGAGCTGGGAAAATCGGATGGCTTAAAAAACCCACAAACCAAGTTCCTTACACATTGTACCATCAGGTTTTCATTATTTAATTATATTTGTGTTTGTTAGCAAGCACTCTTGCCCCCTCATATTGACTCAAGACACTTTTAGCAGAGCCATAAAAACACCTATACGTTGTGCCCCTCTGCTAATGACTTTGGTTGCTTTTAACCCCTTGGCCCTTTGACCAGCTGCCATGTTCCACTGTCTTTTCATCAGCATGTTCTACACCATCCTCATTTGGACGGTCTGAAATATTTACATTCCTATCCTGTATTTTCTCCCAAACTGGATTTTCCCTAGCTCTTGTTCACTTTCTCCCAGAAGCTGGCTTACAAGCTACTCTGTTACCATTTTGATATGACAGCCAACCACACACACACACACTTAATGGCCATTGTCACAGATCTGACTCATCTAGTTCTCTTTTTTCCCCATTAGCATTACGCTGGTGGCCAAATGGAACCGCCAGCTACTGACCTAGAAGTGACTTTAATGAGTCCATTTAAGAATACCCCAATCAGCTCTTAGATCTACTTAACCCTTCACACGAGAAAAAGATGCAACCATTATGTTTGTCATAAACAGACATCTGTCTTTTTCAAAAATTACTACGTACACGGACACTTTCCGCAAATGTCGTGCTCTTTTGTTCTTTATCAGAAGACAAGACATAATTGCATTTGCTTTTGGACTATTTTTTAAAGCTAGCTGGGTTGAACAAGAGCTAGACATGAGTGGCTGCCAGTGAAAACCACAGCCCCATGTATGCTTCTCTTTTCTCTGTCAAACGCAACACATGACCTGACCACAAGTTCCACTGCCACCACAAGCAGCCAGTGATGTAGGGGTAGTAAAAATGTACAAAGCTATTAAGTTATATACTGAATATTACTAGAAATCATGGGAGAAAGAGAAGTGAAAGAAACACAGAGCCATGGCAGCTCTGCATCCTGTAATGTCCAGTTCTAGGTTAAGCGATGCTATTTAAAAAATAGAAAAACCTTTCAATAGAATCATTAGGCTCCCTATTTATTGTCCTTTTTAGAAGGATATGCCCCCTTCAATAAGGTTTACTTCCTGACTCTGTATTATCCAAAATGGCCCTCAATAACTCTGTTTTTACTGGCCCTGCAGAGTACCTGTTATGAGCATAGAGACAGATCAATGGAAATCACAGGAATAATGAAGTGAAGCACCATTCCGCCTGCCCTGGCTGCTTAGCTTCATGAATATAGCATTATCCTGAAGGCAGTTTTGATACATTCAGCTTACAATATGATGCCTTCCAGAAATATTAACATAAGAAGCCCTCCGTGGCACAGATGAAATATTCCTACTTTGCAGTCATGGCTGTCACACAAATGCTGGAAGAGATATAAAAAATTTTATCACTTTTAGTTATGGTGTCTGACCAAAACCTTTCTCCAGAAATATGTGCTATTGCCCATAATGCTGTGCAATCTTATTAATTCTGATGCACTTCAAGGGAGATACCAAGACACCTATTCTTGCTCTCACATGTTCTTCTCCTGACTGTATGTCTGGTGTTTGCAGTTTCTACTAAAGATCAGTTGCTGTAAATGCTCTATTTAATGAAAATATTTGATAACCAGGTCTTGCTTAGCTTCTGTAATTATTAATCGGATGTTCATTTCTTATTCTTGTCCCCACTCCAAGTCACATTTCACATGGGAGGTTAAAGCTTCAGTTTACAAAAGCTTGGTACACACAGTCAGCCACATCAATGTAATATCCTGGGGTGCTGGGAACAATTAAGAGATATGCTGTGTTATTATTACAGTAACAAGGAGGTAGGGGTCACTCCCCAGGTTGCAATCCCCTAATTGTTTTTCAGACAGGCCCAAATCTGACAGCACTGTAAGCAGATTAGTCAGAACTGCTAGGAAGAGTTGAAGGGAAAACTTCAGCTTTGATTTATATTGATGATCTTCAGAGAAAACATTTCAGCACAGAGAGCATTTTATTAGATGTATTTATATGTTCCATTCTCCTTAATTGTTCCTCACAGCAAGTTTACTTAATTAAGAGTAAATTACAGCATCACACAGCTTGCAGCTACCATTTCCTAATTAAAATAAGCAAACGCAAACTCAGGTTGGGAAAGGAAAGGACACAGAATGGTTGTACAAGCAGAAAGCAGCAACATTTACCTCATGGATAAGCGCTACTAACATCTGCTGGAAGTTGCGCCCCCGACTGGCTAGAAACCGACTGATAGGTTTGCCATCCTTACCCACATGGATTGGAAGATCATAGCTCAACAACATGCCAGCTAAAAGAAAATAAAATATAATACATGCATTAGATCACCGATAACTCCAAAAGGTTGTATTACCGGAAAAGTAGGGAAAGCTGAAAGTAGGAAAGCCAGAGGGACTATGGAAATTATGTCTAACATTCTTCAATCTGAAATCTCTTTAAGTAAAAATAATTAGTTTTACAAATAAGGTATTTGTATTAGTTTTACATTGCATTCTTATCCCTTAATCCCATTCTTATCCCAGCTTAATTATCCCAAGTTGGTTTCTGCTTTCTGGGATGAAAACAGCTCTGGCACATTAAACAAAAAATAAACTTGACTATAGTATATAGAGGAAACTTGATTTATTGACTTTTCCTGCTTCTGCCTGTCCCATAGAATTGCTGCTATTGCTGACTACCAGTTTCTCAAACACTGAGAAAAAGGAAATGTCATTGCTGTGACTGGGATTCCAGTAAGCGCCATGGGAGTGGAAAATAGGATGGGTGTAGGATGAAGAGGGGAAGAGGCTTCGGGAACTGACACAACTAGCAAAATAAAAACTTTGAATTGAAGCCCAATTCAAGGCATTGGCTTTGATCTTTACAGCCTGGGACTATGTTAACTAAAGAGTTGACTCTTCTGTCATGTACTTAACCAGACCCTGACTTGATCTTAGGGGCTCTTCTTTGGTTGCCTCTGTCAATGAGGTGTGGCAGGTGGCTACTAGCAAAAAGGACTTTTTAGTGATACTGTTTCAGTTGTCAAATCTCCTCCCCAAGGAGCCTCACCAAACAAATGCCTTCTTTTCTCCAGGCTTTTAAAAGTCTTACTGTTACCAATCAAGAGTGTTGGACTAAGAGTGGGATTCAAATCCTCACCCAGCAATGAAGCTTACTGGGTGATACTGGCCCAATTGGCCTAACCCACCCCTTCAAAGTTGTGAGGATAAAATGGAGAAGGGGAATTACTTATGTCACCTTGAGCTCATTGGAATAAGGATGAGAAATAAATGGAATAAGGCATTTGTCTTGCATCTTAAACATGAGCTGTTTCCCTCTTTATGCTAATTGCAGTACACAGTTTATTATTTGGTGAATTGTCTGGATAACACTTTGTTGCAAGGGAACATACCAATAATGCGGGGTTTTTTAAGTGGAAAAGAAACAATTCAGCTGACCAAAGATATTCTTCCAAGTGACAGTCTTACGCTCAGCTACTCTCAGGGAACTTTACCTGCAAGGCCAGGCTTTAGCCCTGGCTGCTTATTCCTCTCATACATTTTCAACATGAAGTTTGGAACCCCTGATACAGTCTTCCCTTGATCTGATCGAACCGCACTTCCTCTCAGCGCAGAATGGTATATTCCACGAGGCATATTGGCCATCTCCTGTTTCACAAGCGATGCTGCAAACTCTTCAAATGCTTAAGCGGAGAAAGAAAGAAAGAAAGAAAGAAAGAAAGAAAGAAAGAAAGAAAGAGGTGATTGACTGGGGAAATAAGAACCACCCAGCTGATGGAGAACCACAGCAATTATCTGGGAATCTTAGGCTGAAATAACTGGTAATTCCATATTCAGCTGACAGCACCAAGGTCACAGTTCTCATACCTTCTAAGCAAGCCTGTGCAACTCCATGTTCACCTCCCACTCAAAACATCACCTCAGGAAACCTTCAATAAATGGTGTCAGATGTTCCAGCTCAGGAGAAAAAACAAACAGCCAGAGCTGTTTTATATGTCGATCAATGCGCTCTTTGTTTGATCATTGACTTACCAGTATGGAACAACAGAAGCAGAAATGACCTTTACCTTGGCCAGTGTAGCTCCAGTTGCTCACCTACATGAGAATCTTTGCTATTTAAAACAAAAGCATCCAAACAACAGATATTGAAAAAATCAATCAATGCAACAGGTAAGACTAATCAAGGACCCTACAGCCATGGTTTTTAAACTCTACCCAAGTTTGCCACTGGAGTTGTAAAGAATTACTGTAATGTTATTACACTTGTGAAAGTAAAATGCAGTCACTCAGACAACATAGGTTTGTATGGGAGGGTCTGCAGCAGGGTTACCCTTTTCTCCATCATGAATTTCCAACTCCTGGCAACATGGTTAGGTTAACAGTCTGTTAGTGCTTTTTATTATATAATGAAAAGTTACTCTCCTTTGTTTTCCTTCTAAAGGGGGGCTTGGAACAACTGTTTCACATTAACCCTGTGGCTCTGATGCACATTTTTCCTGTACCAGACACAATGCTGAGATCCCTACGAATTGCAGCAACCATGGGATAAAAGATCATTTGCTTGTTCTTGTAAACCAGACATACACAAAGTGTCACAGAATCAGTTAACAGAACCCAGCCAGACTCTGGAATGTCTCTCCAAAAAAAAAAAAAAAAACCCCACCAACCCCCACCACTCTTTTCTCATCCCACCTCTGCAAACTTTCTCATTAAAAAACAGCTCCATTTTTATTTAATAACAGTATAACAGCCAGAGGGAAGCATGACAAAAATGAGCTGAATATTTATAGAAAAGCAGGGGAGTTTCCCTATAAATATAATGCCAGTTCTGCTAGACAAATCAAAAACTTAATGTGACCACAAAACTAAGCTGCTGTTTATACTGCAGGATATCCTGATTGCATTTTTTGCCAATTTCATCCACACTCTTTAGTGCATTTGCCTCACATTGTCTTCTCCTTGCATATATTAAATCTAGGCTGGACCAAAGCATAATTCAATACCCAAGAGAGAATATGAGCTTTTCCTAGCCTACGTTTCAAAATAATTTGAAAGCAAAAAAGCAAGTGCCTCCTCACTCCAATATCTGAACTAGTACAGAACACAAATGCTCTTGAAATAATTTGCCCAGATTTTTTACTTTTGATCTTTCTGCAACAGTTCTTTGGTTCTACATAGCTACAGGTATATCATATCTATGATATAAGAATGTCTCCAAATATCAAAAGCATTTTTTGGCCTGGTGTGTTGAATAACTTCTCAGAGCTTAAGAATGAGTTAGATCCATCATTCCAGCACTCTGTTTCAACCAGTCAGATGTCTCTGCAAGGTGATGGCCATTTTCTTGTCCCTGATCCACAGTACCACTGATCTAAGTGGATCACTTAGTGCAGCTTAACTGTAGTGATAGCATTGCTTCTAAGCCAATCATTTGGCAACAGTGTTAAGACATTACATGGAACGGAAGCAATGACATAGAAGGCCTCAACGGAAATCAAAGTTTATGACTGCATTATACCTGGAAAAACAGAAGGGGGAGTGAGTGACATCAATTTGATATATGAAGCACCAGGAACAGAGAGATCCACCTCTTCCTCATCTCCGTCCTCTTCAGTGATATCCATTTCTTCATCATGGTCTAACTCTGGCCTTGCCTGTATGAGTCATCCATGAAAAGGAAAATACATACAGATTTCCCACAGCTTCACAAACTGAAAAGTACATTTGCCTCCATTAAGTCCAACCAAGGATAAGAAATCCGTGAAGTGGATAAACGTCAGTTTTGAAGAAGAGAAGTATGACTTCAGTATTCTACTGGCCTATTATCAACCTACAGATCCTTCAGCTGTGTTTATAAGTCACTTTCCAATACAAAATTACACACAGATGCATGGATTTTCAACCAAACAATTAGCTTTAACTAAAAAATACCATTTGTTAAAGGTACAGTGAAAGTACCTGAACAGAAGAATGATACAGGGAAACAGGGTAGAGACAGGTAGTAGAGGAATAGTCTTCCCTTTCCTGACCCTTCATTTCAAATGAAAAGGACAGCTTACATCTCAGAGGTGTGCAGAAGTTGCTGCAACGAACACTTTTGCTCTCTACAGCGAAAAAGATGGCACTGCCCTACCCACCCACACATAAGAGCCAGAAGAACTTTACGGCAACCGGACAGTGCCTCAGTGACACCTGTGGGCCCTGGATGAGCTTAGGGAGTGCACGGCAGGAGTGGGAGACCCCCAAGCCTTGCTGCATTCCATTGCTCGCTACTCATCGTGGGTGACAGGTGAAGAAGAGCGTTTCCTCTGTCTGGAACGCTGCATAATTGGTGTGCTGGGTTGCATGGAGCACCCCTGCAGATGGAAGAGGCTTTCTTCTTCAGCCTGTCACCCCGTATGCGTAAAGGGTGACAAGCAAGGTGGGTGGAGCTAGAACATTCCCTCCCCTTACATGTTTAGCTAGTCAGGTTCAGAGCACATGAACGAGGCTACTGAGATGCTCAGAGAGTGGAAGAAAGAAACATTTTAAACTAACCGAACCCGGCTGAACTTTAAAAAAAATGAATGGATTTCCATCTACTTTAATAATTATTATATTATGTGTGTCTGTGTTTGTGTGTGGGGAGGGGCGAGGGGGAGAAAGAGAGAGAGCAGATCTAAACCCAAAATTACAGCAAAGTTTTGATTTTTCTTCACTCCTCCTTGCCTATGCTAGCCTTTTTCCAGAATTTTCCTGCAATGATAACATACTTTCATACCACTCTTTCTGGCAAATCAAAACAGGGGGGAAATTCAGAAAACTATAAATAACAAAATCCTATAGTGAGAGGCGTAGTGGTTAGACTGTTGGACTGAGGACCCAGGAGATCTGACTTTCAGTCCCCCAACAGGCATGACACTCATGGTGCAACTTTGGGCTAGTAACTGAAGCTCAATCTAACCTACCTCACAGGAATGTTTTTGTGTGAATAAAATGGAGTGAATGAGGGCTAGGCAAACCAACTTGGGTTCCTCACAAGAAACAAAAATTCAGGCTATAAATATAATGTAATAATCATGATATAACATATGCAATAAAATCATTATATGTTAAATGTACACAGAGGAAAAAAATGACAAGTACAGCCAAAGCTTAATGAGTGTTCAAAACCCTGTCTGAGAGTTTAGCAAAGGAAAGCGTTCTAACTGCCTTGGGGAAAACATTCCTTAGGGGCTGCCCAAGACATTTTGCTGCTTGGAACAAGATGGCATACCCTCACCTTCCATGTGCAACCAGACAGCCAGATTCTTCAGCACTGAGGGTGGGACCACATCTTCCACGGCACTAAGAACAAGCAGGCTAACTCTGGTTAGCAGAACTAACTGCATGGTAGACAGATGATGGGTCCTCCGACACCTTACGTTCACCTCCCACCATTTGTGGCCACGACAACTGGTTTAGTCTGCCTAATGGTAGAGCCAGCCCTGCTCACCTCCCATGTATGAATGAAGGTGCACCTTACCTGTTCAGGAAGATGAAGTATGGTATGTTCTGCAGAACCAAACTGAGAGAGAGAGATGTATGCAGAGGTGGCTACGAGAGGATCCTAGAGAAGAAAAGCCATACACCTCTGTATTAAGTAGCCGGAGAGAAGCAAGGGAAAAGTTTAATTTGCCTATTCACTTAAACCAGCCTTCCCCAGTCTAGTGCCCTCCCACCCTCAGATGGACTACAACTTCCATCATTCCTGACTATAAGCTCACTGCTTGACGCCGCAAAGAGTTGAACTCAAAAACTGTGTTGAGAAGGCTAACTGGAACCCGGGAAAGGCAGCAGACAAAAATATGTGTTTCCAAGGCGGAACATGCAAGCCAACTTGTAGTTTTGCAGTCCTCATAGAAAGGTAGCAGAGAGGGATTACTGAGAATGATGTTGTATACTAGGCACACTGGGTGTGTGTGCCTGTGTGTGTGTAATCTGATAACTTTTCTGCAGTGGTGCCATCATGGACATGAAGCAGCCTGGCCCATGTGATCACAGCTTATATGTTCCCAAGGCAGTATAGGACTCAACACAGGAGGGAGGTGGGTTGGCCTTCTCAGATCCTTTGCCTACCATCCCCTTGGGTAAATCACTGGGGAAATGCATGGTCATTATTTTCTGGTGTCTCACCTTGTTCTGTGTATGGCTCCACAGGAAACTGACAACTTGAGCTTTAAATTTCTACAAAATTGCAAAAAGAAGACAATCACACTTGGGAATATGCACCTGCTTTCATTTGAGCAACAGGATAGGAGATTCAAGTGAAGAATACCTCGGCCCTGAGAGAATAATCCAAATAGGCATTTATGGATTAACAGTTCTTTCAGAATAGGGGCAAGGGTCCAAAGTTTCCAAGGGGCTTTGAAGTTCAATTTACACTAACTAGAATGATTAAGCAATTTAGCTGGGCCCAAACTGCAGACCAATGGACCTTATCGTGGTAAGAAAGAGAATTTCAAAGGTCAAAAATTATACTCAAGAGCCAACATTCAATGATGCACAATAAAAATGCACAGAAGTGCCATTTTGGCTTGGAGGGGGAAATTGACCTTTAAGTGCCTCTAAAGAGGCAATTCATAGACCATTTACACTGTTGTAGTCACAATGACATTAGCAAACTAAATGCTTATGTCCCATTAGTCAGGTAAGTCTCTTATTAAAGCATTACTCTCGGCTTTCCCCCAAAATGAGAATACAGAACAGCTGTACTGCTGCACAATACAGCGTGAAAAGGGTTTTTTGTAGGGCCAAGCAATGCTGAATCCCCACCTTTCAAGCACAGCTAACGTGTGAGAGGGCATACCAGTACGACTGCCGTCACAGGCACTTGAGACTACATTCCATGGCACCTAATGAAATTTACCTCTGATCAGATTCGCAGAGGATTGTACTGTTAAACAGTTGACTTCAGATCCAGAGAAATAAAATAATTATATTTACTGGATTTTAGACAAATTAGGGTTCCTCAGACATTTCTGAGTGCAAAACAATAATAAAAAATTCATTAGCTTGCACAAGCTTTCCATGCTGTGCAAAATAGTTCATTTCATGTTAAAACCTGCCTTTCTTCATGTTCTTGAATTAGAGGAACAGGTGTAGTGAGCAACCTGCTCCCAAGTCACCCCATACATCTAAGCATAGTAGCCATATTATCATGTTGGTAGATACTCCACTGAGACCAGCTATAATAGCCTCCTCCGAAGCTGCATCCCTACTACAGACAATAGTATTTTTTTAGTTCCCCAATCTGTCGAATATCTATTACTTTTTGATCAGTCTAGCAGCTGGATATAGTTAGTATATCCCTCTGTGAAAGATGTCAGGAGACGGAGTACCCGGAGGAGGGCCTTCTCTGCGGTGGTGCCCCGTCTATGGAATGCACTCCCCAGAGAGGTCCGCCTGGTGCCATCATTATATGTTTTTCGGCGCCAGGTTAAGACCTTTTTACTTAATCAATATTTTAATAAGCTTTAATATTGAATTTTATCATCATATTTTAATTGCAGCCAGAGTGGGTCATTAATTAATTTATGTTATGTTAGATATTTGTATTTTATTGTGCAAGCCGTCCTGAGGCTCTTGCAAAGGACGGCATACAAATATCCTAAAGAAGAAGAAGAAAAGAAGAAGTATCTCAGCCCCTGTTCAAAGTAGGGGCCACCAATGTTCAGACTCAGATTCTCCTTAATATCAGGATCAAGATCTACTTAGACTTTTTGGAGGTACACAAGTACACACCCCAACTAGCAAAACTGCAAAGGTCTTGCCTGGTCAATTCCTAGCTAAGTGCATCCTACCAAAGTCCGGGAGGCAGCAGCCACGGACTTTGCTAAAGCAAGGCTACAAATTGAAAGGCAATGTTGCATACTTGTTAGAGAGTTGGACTGGGACTTAGGTGATCTGGGTTCTAATCCCCACTCAGCCATGAAACTCACTGGGCATCTCTGGGTGCATCAACTCTCACTCTGTCCTACCTATAGGATTATTGTGGGGACAAAATGGAGAGAGGGAGGAAGGGGGTAATGAATACGTCTCCCGCCAACCAAAACAAAACAATAACTGCATTCTTGTAATCTGTGTATTAGTTCAGCAAGTGCAACACTGGGCAAGTCATTTAAAGTACAGACCAAAATGAATCCTCAAGCATCCACCAGCAAAGCCACATACCTCATATTCATTTGAATTCACAGTTAAAGAAGGGACAAGGGAAAATAGTTCACTCAGTGTTTTTAAAATGAGTGGCCGGGTGTCGCAGCTCAACTTTGGTGAGAGCGCATTCCATGTAGAGCGAATACAAACGACCTGGAAGAGAAAGGAAGGACACCATGAGCATATCAAAGACAAATTTATTTATTTATTCATTCATTCATTCATTCATTCATTCAGACAGCTTATATGCCGCCCCCATCGCATAAGCCTTGGGGCGGCTTACAATCATAAAATCCCACATATAAATACAAAAAAATTCATTGAATAAAATAAAATAAAATAAAATAAAATAAAATAAAATAAAATAAAATAATGGAAACAGTCTGGTCAGTTTAAAATCAACAAATCAACCTTAACAGTTAAAATAGTGTTTAAATAAAAAGGTCTTGACCTGGCGCTGAAAAACAAATAACGACATCATCTGTTCATCCCATTTCTCATTAATCTATATTGGATCAGAAATTAATACATGAATTAGAAACTGCAATCTGAATCAGTCACTTGGTATGCTGTTCATAAAGCATATTTTGTAGACTCACGTTGCAGATCAGATGGTCAATGTTTTAATAAGTATTTCAAACTCTAGCCAGGATTGGGTTATTTCATGCTGTCAGTACTCAACACAAACAGTAAACATGTTAAGACAATACAAATTTAGCCTCAGCACAATTGCAGTATCATGTGCCTTTGGACTTCTTTTAAGAAAGTGCATGTTTGAAAAATCATATACCACATGAACTTGGCCCTGGCTGGACTATAATCATTATGGCCTGATTAGAAGTATTCTTTCGACCAGGTAAAATTAAAGGGAATATAATTCAATTATTTGCAATGGAGCAGGGAATCTGGTTCCTATGCAAAATGAAGTATGATGAATGGGGCACTTTCGGTATAAAAATGAAATGGAACAGGGACTCCACCACTATGGAAATACAGTGAAAAGAAAGATATCAATCCATGAGAATGCCAGTTCAGGCCTAGACTTCATCTTTATCCCCATAAACTATTTATATAAAATGTTAATGTTTTATAGCAAAACTATAAAAAAGCAGAAGAATACTATTTGAGAACTGTTTCTGTACCAGAGCAACAGAGCAAGCAAATCATTAACCAGCAAAGTTTATTTCAAATTTGCCTGAATTGTTAGTGAGCAAACGTCATCCTTTAAAAACAAAAACAAAAAAAAACCCCAACTTGGACAGAATGCTAAGGCCATCTCCCTAAGACTACAATGGCATTTGAATGAAAAATTTACTGTCTCCATAAATTGCTAGAATGATCTGGATCAATCAGTGACAAAATTCACCATTCAGTAAATTTAATTTTATGCACAATTATCTGGTCTTTGTAAACCCAAGAGAAGCCACTACAGGCAAGGTTGTTTGTGCTTTAACATTCCCCCATTACAGAATTTGCTATGGAAGGCATAGATGCTCAAAATCTCATTCTTTGACTTGAAGAAAGGCTCAAGGAAATATGGAACCATTTTATAATGGAAGTGGGGTTTGCTCCTAATAAACCACTAGTCCCAATATATGTACCTACTTTCCTCAGAATTATTGCTTAATAATATTGAAGCAGGTTGTTTTCAAGATGAGCCTCCAGAGCACTATAAGAATGAAACTCAAGAAATGCAACAATTGAGCATTGCAATTCACATCTCGACTAGATAATACATCTTTAGATGTCAGGAAGATATTAACACCATTTATTAAGTCAACTGATTTTAAAGAATGGAGATATTGAGTTCTTCAAGAAACACAACAGCACATATCCACTTACTGACCAATAGCTTGTATTACATGAACAAGACTGAATAAGCCATGCAACTGATATTTTCTTTCTTGAAAAGCCATGTGGGGGCAGGGCGGGGGCATGTTGCAAAACCGCTTTTGAAAGGAAGGGAGAAACTGAAAATCATTTTGTGATGCTGTGTTTTTAGTCTGTTCAGTTCTGGGCTCCACATTACAGGAAGAATATAGCCAGGTTGGAATCGGTACACAGTTGGGCCACAAGGATGGTGGCCGGATTGCAGGAAAAGCCATATGAGGCAAGACTGAGGGAGTTGGATCTTTTCAGCCTGGAGAATAGGAGACTCCAAGGGGATCTATTGGCAACATATAGGTACATGAGGGGCTGCCATGCAGAGGTGGGTAGAGACCTGTTTTACCCTGCAGAGGAGGGCAAGACGCATTCCAACACAGCAAAGTTCAGGGAACCAAGGTTCAATTTGGATGCCAGGAAGTACTTCCTAACAGTTAGGACCCTGAGAGTATGGAATGGGCTTCTGTGAGGGTGTCTAAGGACAGGCTGGACATACACATGGTAGGCATGTCATGAGCGGAGCTGGCTGGAGCTGGGGGTCAGACTAGATGGCCCAGGAGACTCCTTCTGACTCGCTCTGTTTCTCTGTTTTTATGCTTCTTACTGATGCTGCCTGTTTGAAAGGAAAAGTGTAGGGAAACTGAATGAGTGCCTGTACCTAATGTAGGTATTTAGACTGCATTTGAAGCAGGAACAGCCCATGCATGAAGCAAGATGATGTGTCACATCGGGGAATGGAGAAGGAGAAGAGTGACCTGTACTATTCCAGCCCCGCTGCCTCATTTCTTCCAGCAGGTGCTCTACACAGCCCCACTGTGGCATTTGTCACAGCAAGGCAGTAGCTGACAAGGTTGTTTGGAGCAACTGTTCACCCACGGCTTCCTTTACGGAGAGCTCTGTGGGGTGCTCATCAAAGCCAGACTGCCTCTTCTTCTGACTGCATGGCTTTCCATACAGCCAGTGCAGTAGCGAAGGGAAGGGAGCATGGGGAGTGTGGAAGTGGGTGCAGTACGGCAGGCCAGGGGCTGCAAGCAGATGGCGTGGCAGCGGGAGCAGGGTAACCCACCTTCTTTCCCATTTCGAGCGGCAAGAGAGCTTGCACCAAGCCTGGTATGAAGGGCTGAATCTTTGGTTGGGAAATTAAGCAAAGTCTACATAGTTAAGGAAACCTGCAGATCTCTGTAAAACTTAGTAATTGTCTGCTTTCCTTTCCACATGGTGAAGGGATTGGTGCAACCCCAAGTCTTACATGCTGACAGATATCAGCCAATTGCACAAAGCTTTCTTTAATTCAGATGGCCACAATAACGAGTGGGCACTTGGAGACAAGCCAAACAATATGGCCAGTGCTGGGGGGCAGGTCCTGGAGCACTTAACACATGACGAGGGCAATCAACAGTGTTTCACCTGTTAAACTATTTATATACCCATTGGTCCAAAGGGAGGGAGGAGTAAATGGGAGAAGGAAAATGTGAAATTACTAGCTCAGTTATGGTAGGACGGGGGCCAGAAGCATTACAGAAAAGGAAGATTTTGAGGAGGAATTTTAAGAAAGGCAGTGTGTTCTAGGAGGACATTACAGATATTATATGGCTGTTCTAGGAGGTGATGCCAGGAAAAAAGGCAGCCAGAGAGCAGGAGGGCATTGGAAAAATTCCTAGAAGCTAAAGCTAGTTCTAATGGCGATATGCTAATTGCAGGATCAGGGGTAGAAGTCCATGAACACCAGCTGCCGAGGATCATGGGTAGCTGGCATCTCTTGCACTCATGTCCTACTGGTGGATTTTCTGAAAGCAGAAAGCTGGACTCAATGAACTCTTGGTATAATCCAGCATTGTTTTTCTTATGCTCTTAAGAGAACTTCCGGAAGTTGGTTGAGCTGGAGGAGTGAAAGGCATGGGCAGGAAGATAAGTATTAATCCCTCTACCTGTTTTATTTCCCAGCCACATAATGCCTGCAATAAATCTATCTTGGAGCCTTGTAACTTCTGTCAAAAAAGTTCCTTTCAGCTTTATGATATTGGTTCCATAAGAAACCCCTAAGCATAATCCAAGCAGCTTTGCTAAAAAATCTTTTGCTTAATGTGAATACTTGGAGCAAGTTAAAAAGTGAGCATTTATTCAACCCAAACCTTCTTAAAATGAAGTTGAAACACTTTTAAAAATCCAGAAGTTGCAAATGTTCCACTCTGACAGGGGCATTCCTCTGCCAGAAAGAGGTTTGTTGTTGTTTTGTTCATTCCAGTATGTTGCTGCCAAAGATGAGTTTGATTATTGGACTCCAAGCATTGTGCCTCACATATCTTTTTGTACCACTGCTTCATAGCAGTAATTATGCTATTTATAGAAAAAATAGAAAGTAGCAGCAGTGACACCTGCAGTTAATGACTAATCCTCTTCAAGCATCATTCCATGTCACAAAAATATTTGAACTGCTCAAGGAACAAAAGGAGGTTTGCCAAGCCAAGCCATTACCATTGTGGCTATCTAAGAGCACAGTGCATAAGGCCATAGCTGGAACGAGTGAACATAGCAGTCATGTTTTTTTGCACTGTAGGCATTAATGCTTCATTCTCTTGCCTCTCTCCCATAAGACATGCTCCTTGTTTTCCAAGACCTTCCCCCATCAAACACTCAAATCTCTGCAGGGAGCAAGCCATTGTAATGAAGACTTCAATGGATTTCCTTGTGGTTAATCCTTGACAGAAATGCACAAAAGTTCCCTTCAGGAATTTCAACTTTTCCGACAGTGCTATCATATCTGCAGGATTCTGCCAGGATTAGTTACCTGCTATTATTATGCGTTATTCAAGTCTGCGCTACGATCAGACTGGATGTATGGACAAATGAGAAGTGAAGTTGCCTGGAAAATATATTCTTTCAAAAGTTGTAAGTCTTCAAGTGAAAGGTCAAAACAAAACTTGACCAGGGGCAAGTGGGGGGGGGAGTATGTTAGAATTACACATCTGCTTTGTATTCAAAATCCAGGAAGTAGATGCCAGAGAGAGTGCATAATGTATGCAACATTACAAGCCAAGCTGCAGATGCCTCTACCAAGTGGGAGAATCAAATATCTATCCGTGCAGAGAAATGAACTGACAGCGCCCCTGTGAAGCTCATTCCATAAACAGAATGACTTAATGAAATCACTGTAGCAATATTTTTATATTAGCAAATAATAATCAGCATATTGGGCATCAGAGAAGTAATTGCTGAATTAAGCAGCCACTTCAGAGATTGTGAAAACACTTTAGGGGGAATATTTCAGA